ATAAAATATATAAAATATATTTTATATATAAAAGGTGACTTCTACTGGTAAAGAGAGGGGAGGTGTTAAGCATTGTAAGAATAAAAACTAGTAAGTAGTTTGCTAATCCAAATGCTAGAGAACAGATAACAGATATCATGCACTAATTTCAGCAGTATTTAAGGCCAAACCCGTTAAATCTTCTGGTCTACATGTAAAAAAATGCTGCCTTTGAACCTCTAGTTGTGACCCCCGTCCTTGCAGTGTACCCCCTCGGCATACTGAGTCTTACCTTGCGTCCGAGTGGAGGTGCCCCTTCAGAGTGTGGGCTCCCTCAGGAGAGGTTTCTAATTTCACTTCAGTGTACTGCCCTCCCCAGTGCAAGGTTTAGTTGAGAATTACTAAATATGTGTGGTATGTAGATAGATCCTCAGTATGTGCCAGGGGTGCTTGTTATTCTCATTCAGGTTTAGGCTAAAAAGGGCAAATTCCCAAGAATACAAGGAATAGCTGGCCCTCTAGTCAAGATATCAATTTCAAGGAGGTCTGGAAAAGTCCAATCCACTGACCAAGTCCAGTGGCTATTGCTATTTGTATTGAGTGTCTGACGTAAAGTCGAATGCTGTCTTGTTTAGCTCACCTATGCTGAAGCTGGCTGACTTAAACATCATAATGAAAGCACAACCAGGGTAGTAATCATCTGATTAAAAGCAATTTTTAAGTATTTAAGTATTTAATCACATTTTTAAGTATTTAATCAAAATAATGCAAAAGGAATATTCTTTGAAAAAACCAAAGTAACAAAAAGATCTAAAAAGGGGAATATTAAAATAATTTACATTCATAATATGAAAGAAAGATGATTAAATACAAGATTAAAGTGATTGGTTTAATAAAATCAGTTTTGTGACCTCAGGGCTGTGCTTGCATACACAAACGTCACTTGGAGAAATTAAAAGCCTCAGGGCTGTCAAAGTAAATTAATATTTGAAATATATCAATCTTAGCACATTTTGTGAATGAATATTCTAGAATCTATAAAGGGGGAATTGCAAAGGTAGACTCGTAAGTTATTTTAATATCTAGCTTCTAGTGCCTTCTTAGAACCATTACATTCCTTTTTAATGAGGAAATAAATATGGCAAATAATTTAGAAATGATGACTATTCACTATAGCTGGTCAAATATTGAACAAGAGAGCAGCTGCCAAGTGTGCATAGGTTATTGGATAAATGAGAACTTTATAACATTAAAGAAATTAGCTAATGATTTGACCAAACCAATAACAATTAATTTTGAAAACACATGGAGAACTTTGCAAATACTATGCAAATAGTGATACAGACTCCATCTCCAGAAAAAATAAACTGGGAAAAGGAAAAAAAGAATAATTATAGTCATATTTTTCTAGTTTTTTTTTCTCTTTGAAAGTTAGTAAAGGAATATAATATTTTGTACATAAGAATTGCAATGTCTGAAGAAATTAGACTCAAAATATTTGTTATGAAATATCTAAGTATTCCAATACCTCTTTCAGAGTATCCTGTGTTAAGCGTATGTAATAATGCTGTAACATCCAAGACTATAATAACAATACAGAACTAGGAGAGTTGAATTCAACTCTCCTTTGGGATATGAGGTCTTTCATAGCCAGTAGAAAGAGCTGGGCACAAAGGAAAGCTGGTCCATATCTAAAATTAAATAAAATACTCCACATAAAGTACTTAGCTCTGTGCCTGGCATATAGGAAGAACTCATTATCTGTTAACCTTGATTATATATATGGTCATTTTATCACACAGGGAAGGACAGCACTAAATTGTCAGAACAAGGGCAGCCCCAGGATTTGCAAGGTCTGGATTAAGATACAAATGGGTGTTCCACACCATATGTCTAATCAAGCTCACCAACTATGAAATATATTCTATATTCCTATATGCCCCCCCATACACACACATGCGTGCACACACACACACACACACACACATAAATAAAATGCCTTCAGAAATATATCTTCATAACAACCAAGAAGGCTAATGTTGAATTTAGAAATGTAGAATTCTCCAGATCTTGTACCAGTTTAAGTGGCCACATGGGGAAAACTCTCTGCGTGCCCCCACCTTCCCACAACAGAACTGAGGAAGGTGTCTGACAAGCTTGGAGCTACTGGGCATGGAGTTCTGGAGTCCCCGGCTTGTCTTAGGAATGGGGTGGGGTCTGACGGGGGCATGACTCTGCTCTGGGGGGAGAAGAGTGGCTGGAAGGCCACAGGGAGGTGTCTGAGGCGAGGAGCTGCGCAGAAGCCCTCTCGCTTGGATCTAAGGTTTAGGGCACGCAATGGGTAATTCTCCAGTTAACTAAGCTGGGAGTTGGATGATTTCGTGTTTAGATATCTTAAATAATTTCTGGAGGACAGTATTATCTAGAGAGGGGCACTGGACTGTAAGCAGTTGAGCTAATCTTTGGAGCAGTTCCCTTAGCTGAAAAATATGGGGATCTGACCCAATAATTTCTACTATCCCTTCCTGTACTTAAAATAATTGGTGTTAAAAAATTCACTGAGGTATAATTGACATATAATATTATATTAGCTTCAGGTGTACAACACAGTGATTTGACATTTGTATACATTGCAAAAATGGTCTCCATATTAAGTCTAGTTATCATCTATCACCAAAGTTAGTACAATATTATTGAGTATATTCCCTATTCTGTATGTTATATCCCTGTGTCTTTTTTATTTAATAACCAGAAGACTATATACCTCTTAATCCCCTTCATCCATTTTACCTCCCCACATCCCCTTCTGGCAACTACCGATTTATTCTCTGTATCGATGACTCTGGATTTTATTTTGTTTTGTTTTTATATACCATATTATAAGGGAAATAGAGCAGTAGCTGTCTTTATCTGACTTATTTCCCTTAGCATAATACCCTCAAGATCCATCGACGTTGTAGCAAATGGCAAGATTTCATTCTTTTTTATGGCGGGGTTGTATGTCACTGTAAATATACACACCTTCTTTATCCATTCGCCCATTGATGGACACTAAAGTTGCTTCAATGTCTTGGCTGTTATAAATAATGCTGTAGTGAACCCAGGGATGCATATATCTTTTCAAATTAGTGTCTTCGTTTTCTTCGGATAAATCTATTATGCTATCAGTAAACACTAACAGTTCTACTTCTTTTCCAATTTGTATGCCTTATTTTCATTTTCTTGCCTAACTAGAACAGGACTTCCAATACTATTTTGAGTAAAAGTGCAAATAATGGGCATCCTTGGCTTCACCTGATCCTAGAGGAAAAGGTTGAGTTGTTGAGTATGTATGACATTAGCTGTGGGCTTGTTATATGTGGCCTTTGTTATGTTGGAGTGCATTCCTTTTAACCCACTTTGAGAATTTTTATCTTAAATGGATGTGGGATTTTGTCAAATAACTTTTCTGAATCTATTGAAATGGTTACATGATTTTTATCTGTCATTCTATTAACATGGTGTATCACATTGACTTTACAGATATGAATCATCCTTGCATCCCTGGAACAAATCCTACTTGATTGTGGTGTATGATCCTTTTACTGTTTTATTGAATTTGATTTGCTGTTATTCAGGAGTTTTGCACTTATGCTTGTGTGCTTGTGATTTCCTTGTCTGGTTTTGATATCAGGGTAATGATGCCCTCATAAAAATTAGTTTGGAAGCTTTCCATCCTCTTCAGTTTTGGCGGGAAGATTTTGAAAAGGTCAGGTATTAAATCTTTGAATGTTTGGTAAAATTCACCAGTGAAGCTGTTTGGTCCTGCATTTTTGTTTGCTGGGAGGTTTTTCAGTACTGATTCATTCTCCTTACTAATAATCAGTCTATTCAGATTTTCTACTTTGTAAACTTCAAGGAATTTATCCATTTCTCCCAGGTTGTCCATTTTATCAGCATATGATTGTCCATAGAAGTCTCTTATGATCCTTTGTATTTCTGTGGTAGCAACTGTAACTTCTTTCACTTCTTATCTAGTTGAACCTCTTTTTTCCTTGGTGAGTATAGGTAAAGGCTTATCAATTTTATCTTTTCAGTGAACCAGCTTTTATGTTCATTGTTCTTTTCTATTTTCTTTTAGTGTCTGTTTCAGTTATTTCTGCTCTCATATTACTTCCTTCCTTCTACTAACTCTGGGATTTGTTTGTTCTTTTTCTAATGCCCTTATGTGTGAAGTTAAACTGTTTTGTGAGATTTCCCAAAGCTGTAACTATGACTCATAGTTGTTCAATAACATGTTGCTTAATCTCTACATGTTTTTAGTTTTTCCATTATTCTTCTTGTAATAGATTTCTAGTTTCATACTGTTGCTGTCAGAAAGATGCTAGATATGATGAAATCGTCTTAAATTTACTGAGTCTTGTTTCTGGCCTAACATGATCTGTCCTGGAGAGTGCTCCACATGTACTTGAAAAGAATGTGTATTCTGCTGTTTGGGACGGAATGTTCTATATCTATTTGTTAAGATCATCTGGTTGAATGTATTGTTTAAAGCCAGTGTCTCCTTATTGATTTTGCTGTCTGGATGATCTATTCGTTGATGTAAGTAGGGTGTTAAAGTCCCATACTATTATTGTATTACTGCCTGTTTCTCCCTTTATGTCTGTTATAATTCGCTTTATGTATTTAGGTGTCCCTATGTTGGACACAGAGATATTTACAAGTGTATACCTATCCTCTTGTTGGATTAATCCTTTTATTATGTGATGTTCTTTTTTGTCTCTTATTATAGTCTTTGTTTTAAAATCTATTTGTCTGATAAAATATTGCTACCTCAAGTTTCTTTTTGTTTCCTTTGCATGGAATACCTTTTTCTATCCTTTCATTTTCAGTCTATGTGTTTTTAGATCTGAAGTCTTGTAGGCAATATATAAATTTTTTAAATAAATTTTTCATTCCCCATATATCTTGCTTATTGCATTTAGTCCATTTACATTTAAAGTAATTATTGATAGGTATATACTTGTCATTTATTGATTGTTTCTGGGTTTTGTAGTTCTTGTCTTCCCTTGCAATTTGATAACTTAGTGTTATGTTGGTATTCTTTTCTCTTTACTATCAATTACACAGATTTGATTTGTGATTACCATTAAGGGCACATAGAGCACCTTACATATATAGCAGTCTGTTTTAAGTTGTGGTCAACTTAAGTTCAGGTGCATTCTTAAAGTACTGCATTTTTACTCCCCCTTCCCCAACATTTTATGGTTTTGATGCCATATTTTACATACTATTGTTTTTATATCCCTGGACTGATTATTATAGGTCTAGATAGTTTTACCACATTTGTCTTTTAACCTTCTTGCTAGCTGTGTAGCTGTTTGATCCACTACCTTTACTATATATGTTTATCTTTAGCAATGAGGTTTTTTCTTACATAATTTTCTTATTTTGAGTTATGGCCTTTTCCTTTCTGTTTAAAGAAGTCCCTTTAACCTTTCTTGTAGGTTGATTGGGTGTTGATGAACTCCTTTAGTTTTGTCTGTCTGACGGTTTCTCCTTTGATTCTGAATTATAACCTCATCAGGTAGTGTTCTTGGGCTGGCAGATTTTTCCCTCAGCACTTGGAATATGCCATGCCCCTCCCTTCTGGTTTGCAAAATTTCTGCTGAAAAATCATGCTTATAGCCTTATAGGGTATCCCTTGTATGTAACAATTTGTTTTTCTCTTGTTGTTTTTAAGATTCTCTTTAACTTTTGACATTTTAACTACAAAGTGTCTTAATGTGGTTCTCTTTGCACTCATCTTATTTGGAACTCTCCGGGCTTCCTGGACCCTGGATGTGTTTCCCTTCTCTAGGTAATGGAATTTTTTAGCTATTGTTTCTTCAAGTTAAGTTTTCTGCCTATCTCTTTGCTTTCCTTTTGGGACTTTCCTTTTGGGACTTCAGTAACATGAATATTACTTCCCCTTGATATTCTCCCGAAGTTTTGTTAGGTTATTTTCAATTTTCCAAAATTATTTTTTCTCTTTGCTGCTGTCTGGGTGAGTTCATTGTTTCATCTTCCAGTTCATTGATCTGCTTTTCAGCTTCATCCAGTCTGTCAGCTGCTGAACCTCTGTTGTGTATTTTTCATTTCAGTTATCATGTTCTTCAGGTCTGACTTCTGTTTGGTACTTTCTTATATTTACTATCTCTTTGTGGGTATCGATTCTTTAGTGATATGGAGATAGTAATCTACTTGGTAAAGTCTTTTTCTTTCATCTGGAACATATTTCTGTGTTTCCTCATTTTGCTTGACACTCTGTGCATGAGGTGAAACAGTGACCTTCTGTAGGTGATGAGCCGCCTTGTTCAACCTCACCCAGCTCTCAGTTGTATCTTGAAGCTTTGTGATTGGCGAAACTGCATGACTTATTCTTGATGGGTCCCTATTGTTGACGGTGTGCCCAGACATGTCAGTCATCCAAGGGTTAAAGAATCTCATTTTACCAGCATGTTTCAGGCTGACTGAAGACCAGACCCTCAGGAAGCAGTTTTAAGTGTGCAAATATAGACAGTTCTGTGTATCCACACCCATAATCCCTGCTTGCCTCCAGACCAGGAGACATGGAGGTGTTCTCTGGGTGACAGTTGCAAAAGTCAGGGCTCCAGGCTAAGTAAATAGACCTTTTCACAGGAAGACAGTTGTGTTTCAGTCTGCTGTCTCTGGAGTGCCTGAGGGTAGGGGCCTGCCCAAAGCGGTCTTTCCAGTTCTTACAGTTCTGGGTTGCTCTGGAATGCCATCCCTCTCGGCCACCAGGGTGTAAGCAATTAAGGGGTGTCCTGCTGGCTTAAGGGAGGACAGTGTAGGTTGAAGGGCACACCTGCTGGCTTCAGAAAGGCAGTGGGGAAATGTCTTGACTGGTACTAGCATCAGGAATGCACTGGGAGAGTACCTTGCCTGTGCATATGTGCTGGCTTTAGGCTGGGTGGGACAATGCTGCCACAGTCATGCTCCCTCACCCCTGCCAGAGAGCAGGGAGGTACTGTCACCCCCATGCTCTTGAGCCTCAGCAAGTGCCTCAACCACTTGTCCCTGCAGGTCACAGTAAGGTGGGGGGAGAGTGCTGTGTCCCAGCTTCCCCCTTTGCTAGCAGGCTATGTGGAGAGTGCAACAATGGTGCCCCCAGCACCTCCATCCCCAGGGAGTGTCTCAACTGTTCCCTGTCCCTCCAGCAGATGCTCCCAGTTAGTAACTGAATCTACCTCACACACAGTCTAGGCACTTTTCAAACTGCTATTTTTTTGATAGGTCTTGGGGCAAGCAAGACTGCCTCTGAGCCTTCCAAGAGGGTAATCTCAGTTTCCTATAGCACTTGGGGACCCTGGACATCAGCCCCATTGGTTTTCTAAGCAAGATGTTCTGGGGGCTCATCTCTACAGTGCATGTCCACGGGTGAGGTGCCTGACATGGGGCACCAACTCTCTGGGAGAAACCACTGTCTGGTGAGATCTCTCCCTGTTGTTTTGCTGCCCTGGGGCTGGGTTTTTTGCAAGACTGTGTCTCTGTCTCTCCTATCTGTCTCAATGTGGTCCTTTTGCCTTTTGTTGCAGAGAGCAGTTCTAGTTTTCTTATCTTTTCCAGGGGGAAATGATCCATATGTAGCTGTAGACTTGGTGTGTCTATGGAGGAGGTACGTTCAGGAAATTCCCAGGGTGCCATCGTGGGCTCCCTCCTCAGTGCATTGTTAATTGAAAGCCTCTTAAACAATTCTTTATCTCTTGAGTCATTATAAGAAAAATGAGATCACAAATCAGTAGCTATAAGCAACCAAGGTGTCTCCCAGTCGGCAAATGGATAAACAAACTGGTACATCAGACAATGGAATATTCTTTGGCAATAAGAAGAAGTGAGCTGTTAAGACATCAAGGAACCTTAAATGAATGTTACTAAGTGGAAGAAGCCAATCTGAAAAGGTACATACTGTATGATTCCAACTATGAGACATTCTAGAAAAGGCACAGCTATGGAGACTACCAGATCAGTGGTTGCCAGGGGCCTGGGAGGGAGGAGGCAAGGAGAAGTGGAGCACAGAGGCACTGACACGATTCTGTAGGATACTATAATGATGGACCCTTGTCGCACATTTGCCAAAACTTACAGAATGTACAGTACAAAGAGTGAACTCGAAACTGTGGACTTGAGTCAATATCGATACATTGTTAACTAATCAGTTATAACAAGTGTACCCAAAGCAAGATGTTAGAAACAGGAGAACCCAGGGAGTTATAGCCTTATAGGGTATCCCTTGTATGTAACAATTTGTTTTTCTCTTGTTGTTTTTAAGATTCTCTTTAACTTTTGACATTTTAACTACAAAGTGTCTTAATGTGGTTCTCTTTGCACTCATCTTATTTGGAACTCTCCGGGCTTCCTGGACCCTGGATGTGTTTCCCTTCTCTAAGTAATGGAATTTTTTAGCTATTGTTTCTTCAAGTTAAGTTTTCTGCCTATCTCTTTGCTTTCCTTTTGGGACTTTCCTTTTGGGACTTCAGTAACATGAATATTACTTCCCCTTGATATTCTCCCGAAGTTTTGTTAGGTTATTTTCAATTTTCCAAAATTATTTTTTCTCTTTGCTGCTGTCTGGGTGAGTTCATTGTTTCATCTTCCAGTTCATTGATCTGCTTTTCAGCTTCATCCAGTCTGTCAGCTGCTGAACCTCTGTTGTGTATTTTTCATTTCAGTTATCATGTTCTTCAGGTCTGACTTCTGTTTGGTACTTTCTTATATTTACTATCTCTTTGTGGGTATCGATTCTTTAGTGATATGGAGATAGTAATCTACTTGGTAAAGTCTTTTTCTTTCATCTGGAACATATTTCTGTGTTTCCTCATTTTGCTTGACACTCTGTGCATGAGGTGAAACAGTGACCTTCTGTAGGTGATGAGCCGCCTTGTTCAACCTCACCCAGCTCTCAGTTGTATCTTGAAGCTTTGTGATTGGCGAAACTGCATGACTTATTCTTGATGGGTCCCTATTGTTGACGGTGTGCCCAGACATGTCAGTCATCCAAGGGTTAAAGAATCTCATTTTACCAGCATGTTTCAGGCTGACTGAAGACCAGACCCTCAGGAAGCAGTTTTAAGTGTGCAAATATAGACAGTTCTGTGTATCCACACCCATAATCCCTGCTTGCCTCCAGACCAGGAGACATGGAGGTGTTCTCTGGGTGACAGTTGCAAAAGTCAGGGCTCCAGGCTAAGTAAATAGACCTTTTCACAGGAAGACAGTTGTGTTTCAGTCTGCTGTCTCTGGAGTGCCTGAGGGTAGGGGCCTGCCCAAAGCGGTCTTTCCAGTTCTTACAGTTCTGGGTTGCTCTGGAATGCCATCCCTCTCGGCCACCAGGGTGTAAGCAATTAAGGGGTGTCCTGCTGGCTTAAGGGAGGACAGTGTAGGTTGCAGGGCACACCTGCTGGCTTCAGAAAGGCAGTGGGGAAATGTCTTGACTGGTACTAGCATCAGGAATGCACTGGGAGAGTACCTTGCCTGTGCATATGTGCTGGCTTTAGGCTGGGTGGGACAATGCTGCCACAGTCATGCTCCCTCACCCCTGCCAGAGAGCAGGGAGGTACTGTCACCCCCATGCTCTTGAGCCTCAGCAAGTGCCTCAACCACTTGTCCCTGCAGGTCACAGTAAGGTGGGGGGAGAGTGCTGTGTCCCAGCTTCCCCCTTTGCTAGCAGGCTATGTGGAGAGTGCAACAATGGTGCCCCCAGCACCTCCATCCCCAGGGAGTGTCTCAACTGTTCCCTGTCCCTCCAGCAGATGCTCCCAGTTAGTAACTGAATCTACCTCACACACAGTCTAGGCACTTTTCAAACTGCTATTTTTTTGATAGGTCTTGGGGCAAGCAAGACTGCCTCTGAGCCTTCCAAGAGGGTAATCTCAGTTTCCTATAGCACTTGGGGACCCTGGACATCAGCCCCATTGGTTTTCTAAGCAAGATGTTCTGGGGGCTCATCTCTACAGTGCATGTCCACGGGTGAGGTGCCTGACATGGGGCACCAACTCTCTGGGAGAAACCACTGTCTGGTGAGATCTCTCCCTGTTGTTTTGCTGCCCTGGGGCTGGGTTTTTTGCAAGACTGTGTCTCTGTCTCTCCTATCTGTCTCAATGTGGTCCTTTTGCCTTTTGTTGCAGAGAGCAGTTCTAGTTTTCTTATCTTTTCCAGGGGGAAATGATCCATATGTAGCTGTAGACTTGGTGTGTCTATGGAGGAGGTACGTTCAGGAAATTCCCAGGGTGCCATCGTGGGCTCCCTCCTCAGTGCATTGTTAATTGAAAGCCTCTTAAACAATTCTTTATCTCTTGAGTCATTATAAGAAAAATGAGATCACAAATCAGTAGCTATAAGCAACCAAGGTGTCTCCCAGTCGGCAAATGGATAAACAAACTGGTACATCAGACAATGGAATATTCTTTGGCAATAAGAAGAAGTGAGCTGTTAAGACATCAAGGAACCTTAAATGAATGTTACTAAGTGGAAGAAGCCAATCTGAAAAGGTACATACTGTATGATTCCAACTATGAGACATTCTAGAAAAGGCACAGCTATGGAGACTACCAGATCAGTGGTTGCCAGGGGCCTGGGAGGGAGGAGGCAAGGAGAAGTGGAGCACAGAGGCACTGACACGATTCTGTAGGATACTATAATGATGGACCCTTGTCGCACATTTGCCAAAACTTACAGAATGTACAGTACAAAGAGTGAACTCGAAACTGTGGACTTGAGTCAATATCGATACATTGTTAACTAATCAGTTATAACAAGTGTACCCAAAGCAAGATGTTAGAAACAGGAGAACCCAGGGAGTGGAAGGGGGAATATGGGAACTCACTGTATATTTCACTCAATTTCTCTGTAAACCTGAATCTATTAAAGAAAAGTCTATTAATTGAAAATACTAATAGATACAGGCTAGCCAATATATTCAAAGTAAACTAACATACAAGAATGGAGGAAAAACATTCTTTAGATTCGTCCTCATTTGGAATTCATACAAATATCAATACCAATAAAATGAAGAATATAGAGGCTAAAAAGGTTCTACTAAATTTTTATAATGTTTGCCCTAAAAAGCTAGAATTTTATACCAGAAGCTAGCATTGCAGGTTCTATTTTAAATCTTACTTGAAAACATGATTTTTAGAAACCTTATTTTACTATTTTCAGTGACAGCATCCATCAACTTAATCAAAATATTTATAACTGCTTTTCTAGAAATTTTTTTTCTATGCAGTTTCCTCAAGAATTACTGCTTACTTCTTTTAACCTATTAAACACTTATAATTCAAGATCTCATTCACATTCTAGATAAATACAAATCATTAAAAAATGGGTACAGAAATGTTCCTTGTCTTGAAGGCTTTTTCTGTTGCCATTCCATCCCAGAGAAGTCCCCCCGCATGCATTCTGCAGACGCTGCCCTTAGATGATACCCTGCAGTTTGTGCCTCTGCCTCTTACTGAGTCTTTACTGGCACCCCCAATGCTGATACCTGAAGCCTTTTTATGTTTTCAAGGTGTCCTGTCCCTGTTTCCAGCCTGAGGCATCTTCCTGCAGTCCTAGTGAGCGCTGTCCTCACCAGAGTTTGCTGGACTCTATCCTAACCTTCCTCTTCCAGAATCTTCCTCCATGAACTCCTTCCTTTGTCTGGTTGCTGCCTCTGTCTTAGATTTTCCACTAAACCCCTTAAGCCCTGTGAGCCACAAAAGCTTCCACCTTCTGAAACACACTCTTCGGAAGACTTCTCTGTAACCACCGAGTCGGCCACCTGCTGCTCACTCCTTCAGATCCTGGGCGGTGGATGCTGCTTTCCGTTCCTCCTAAACACTAGGTCACAGGCAGCCTCCTGGGACATCACTGAACACACATCCCCACCCATCCGCCTACTCTAGCTGGTCCTCCCTCCCTCTCTGAGGGTCTTTCTCTATCACTGTGGCGTGCTCCTTGGAGCCCTTCAGTGGTTATTCCAGCTCTCATGCACTCCCTCAGTCTCCCCTGTACCTACCTGCTGGCAGACCCCCACATTTATCATCTCCTCAGGGTGCAGGTCATAATCCCCTCACACACTACTTGGAGTCAGACGGCCCTAAATGGAGTGACTTGTGCTAAGACCCCCATCAGCAAACCAAGACTTACTATCTAACCAAATCACACAGCCTCTCCCAGGAATCAACCTTTAAAGTCTAATCTGGAATTATATGAACAGCTCTAGTGAAGTAATCTGCCCATAGACCCCCACCCTTCCCCCAGGGGAAGGGGACATTGCCCCCCTCCAGCCTATAACCGCTTCCATCTTGGACAGATTCTGGAGTTCCTCTCAGTTTTCTAGATGGTATGTTGGCCAGGACAATTTCATTAAAAATTTTCTCTGAATTTTAATGGATTAACAAGGGACTGCATCTCCAAGTGCCTTATTTTAAAAAGAAATTACTGCTGGGAACAATGCATATTAAGCCATATATCATGTATTCTCTCTAGGACTGTTAGCTGAGGAGAGGACACGGAAACAATGGAAGTTTCCAGATGGAGAATCCAGGACACTGTGTGAGCATGCGATGACAGGAATCCTGGGGTGTCAGGGGAATGAGGGGCGCAGAGACGTGGGAGAGAGTGTGCTAAGGGTGGGCGTCCTCTCCAGGACAAGGCTTCTGGCAGATGAGTTAGGCAGGCAGTACAGTTAACAAATAGGACAATTTCTTTTTCTTGCATCTCCCTGCCCCCAAACATTGATGCTAAGGAAGGTATTTAATAGAGAAGAAGATATGAAAGCAGTCACAGAAAAGGCCAAGTGATATGGGAACAAAGCCACCATTCCGGGTCTTGTAAGCAGAGAAGCCTTCAGGGTGAAAGATAATGGCAATGAAGTAGGATGTAGTGAATCTGAACGCCATAGGGAGAGTCTGAGCAAGCTTTCAAAGGAGAGGGGCTTCCTACAGTACCCTGGAAGGAGACGCAAAATGCTCCTGTGTGAAGGGAGGCTGGCGCCTGAGGAAAACAACTGGAGGAGTGTGTGTAGGGCACACACAAGTGCTGAGGAAACAGTACTGATGTCATATAAAGGTGAGCAAATGTCTGGGCTCAAACTGCAGGTGTGCAAAAGGGCATGACCTTTCACCTACCAGGC